ACGCCCCGGCGCCGGTGGGCCGCGAGCGTCCAGAGCGACGCGACGCCGAGGCGGCAGGGCTCGAGGGCGCCCGCGAGGCCGCCCCGCGTCGGCGCCGCGGCCTCGAGGGCCTCGACGACGGCGAGGCCGACGGCGCGCCGGCCGGCGACGTAGACGTACGCGCGCGTCCAGCCCGCGCCGCCGGCCTCGCCGAGGTCGCGGCCCGCGGCCTCCCGCACGGCCTCGACCTTGGCGACCTTGGCCGCGCCGTCGCCCCGCCGCACCTCGAGGACGCGGCCGTCGCCGTGGGCCGCGGCGACGCGCTCGTCGCGGAAGCCCTCGACGCGGACGCCCGCGGCGACGACGTCGCACCGCGCGGCGTGCGCGGCCTCGTCGGCCGGGTCCCCGACGACGTAGACGAGGCCGCAGGCGCCGCACTCGCGCCGCGCGCCCAGGGACCGCTGGCCCAGGTCCAGGAGCCGCTGCCGCGGCGCCTTGCGGGGCGTGACGCGCTCGCAGCGCGGCGCCCGGGCCCGGGGGCGCGCCGGCGCCGCTTTCCGGCGCTTCGGGGCGCCGGCGCCGAGGTCGCAGGCCGACCGCTTCGCGCCGAGGCGGGCGAGCATGGGAGCTTGTGGTGTGGCGCGCGTGCGGTGGGCGAACGGCGGCGGGCGTGCTCAGCACACACTCAAACGCTTTCCGCCGCCGGCTGATGTTTACCCTCCTGAAGTCATCGTTGCCCCGCGATCGCGATGGACGCGGGCAGCTTCTGAGAAGGCCGCCGTGGCCGCAATTATCGCCATGGGCAGCATGGACGACGAGAACGTCTTCCTCCGCGACGTCACGGCGGGCGAGCAGGAGTACGCCCGGTCCCTGCTCCGCGGCGCCCGCGTCCTCTACCTGGCCAAGGTCACCAAGGTCGAGGACCGCAAGCTCAGCGTCGACGGCGCCGGCCGGGAGCACGACGCGGCGCCCATGGAGCGCATCCTCGTGCTCGGCGCGTACCGCCTCTTCTCGATCAAGCGGCGCATGACGGGGCTCGCGTGCATCCGCCAGGGCCACGCGCAGGATTTGGAGCGCGTCGCCTACGTCGAGCGCGAGGGCGGCCGGGCCGTGCTCCAGATCGAATTCCGGCGGGGCTACGAGGACCGCGGCGGCTTCCTGATGACCGTGCCCTGGGAGACGCCGACGACGTCGACGCTGGCCCGGAGCCTCTGGGAGCTCTGGCTGCGCTCCGGCGGCGCGCTCGAACGGCGGCGGCCATCGCTCGAGGGGCACCTCCTCGAGCGGCTCGCGGCGTCGGCGAGTTTGGACGCGGGCGACGCGCCGGCGCTCCACGTCGCGCTCTACTCGCGGCTGCGCCACTACGGAAACGCGCGCCGAGCCGCGATC